GGGGCCTGAGAGGCGCGAGTTCCGGGAGAGGAACGCCATTTCGGGCCGGGCGAGGAGAGGCGGAATAGGGGTTGGGCTCTGGGTTTTGGAGGAGAGGAGTGCACGTCCGCCAGCCCCCGGGCTTAGGCAAAATTCTCTAGAATTTTTAAGCTAGAACATGACATTGGTAAGAAATTCCGTGCTTGGGGCGGGGCCGGGGGTAGGGGGTTAGGAATCCTGGCTCCTCCCCCAGCTCAGTTTAGGGGACGAGAGAAAGCCTGGCACCGAGTGAAGGCCGCTACTGTGATCTCCGTGGGCGGTGGGTGTGTGGCGGGGGAGGCATGGCCCATCCAGAGGCTCTGGGAAAGGGCAGTCCTGCGTCCCCGCCGTTCCCTTGGCGACAGCGGCTGGGTGGGAGGGGGAGAGTGTGAGCCGCAGTCACTGGCGCCGCCCCCTCTCTCCGGCTCCACCCTAGCTCCGGCTCCACGTGGTTTTCACCACCCGCAGCGCAGACCGGGGTGGGGGAGGGGCCTCGCCACGCACCTCCGGGCTGGAGAGGGTGTGGCCGGGAGAACCGCGAGCCCCACAGGGGTCGGTCCGTGACTTCTTCTCGGAAAAGAGCGAGGAACGCGCTCTGTGGGCAACGGACTCCACAGGCTTCCGACGACAAACCGGGGACGGAGAGTCCGGGAGTCCTGAAAAGACAGGTGAGCGGCGCTAGGGGAAGGACAAGCCAGGGTCCCCATCCGGACCGCCATGGCCGTGCACGCCCGTCGTCTGTGCCACATTGCCTTCCACGTGCCCGCGGGGCAGCCCCTCACCCAGGATCTGCAGCGTGTCTTCGGATTCCAGCCCTTGGCGGTGCGGGAAGCAGAAGGCTGGCGGCAGTTGGCCCTGCGCAGCGGCGACGCGGTCTTTTTGGTGAACGAGGGCGCAGGGCCGCGGGAGCCGCTGTACGGCCTGGACCCACGTCATGCTGTGCCCAGCGCCACGAACCTGTGCTTCGACGTGGCGGACGCGGGCGCCGCCGCCCGGGCGTTGGTTGCGCGGGGCTGCAGCGTGCCGGTGCCCCCGGTTAGCGTGAAGGATACGCACGGCACAGCCACCTACGCTGTGGTCAGCTCGCCCGCCGGCAACCTCAGCCTGACACTCCTGGAGCGTGCCGGCTTCCGAGGGCCTTTCCTCCCGGGATTCCAGCCTGTGGCCTCTGCAGCCAGCCCGGGCTGGGTCAGCCACGTGGACCACCTGACCCTGGCCTGCACCCCTGGCAGCTCCCCCACACTGATGCGCTGGTTCCACGACTGTCTAGACTTTCGCCACCTGCCACTGAGTCCAGGTGAGGATCCGGAGATAGGCCTCGAGGTGACAGCAGGATCTGGGCGAGGGGGACTGAAGCTCACCGCCCTGCAGACCCCCCCAGGCAGTGCTGTCCCCACCCTCGTGCTGGCTGAGACCCTGCCAGGGGCTTCTAGTGGACAGGACCAGGTGGAGCAGTTCCTGGCCCGGCACAGGGGACCAGGACTGCAGCACGTGGGGCTCTACACGCCGAACATCGTAGAAGCCAGTGAGGGGGTAGCAGTGGCTGGGGGCCGGCTCCTGGCTCCTCCTGAGGCATACTACCAGCAGCCGGGCAAGGAGAGGCAGATCCTAGCTGCTGGGCATCAGCCTAGCCTGCTGGCCCGACAGGGGATCCTGCTGGACGGTGATGAAGGCAAGTTTCTGCTTCAGGTCTTCACCAAGTCTCTCTTTCCAGAGGACACCTTCTTCCTGGAGCTGATTCAGAGGCAGGGGGCCACAGGCTTTGGCTGGGGCAACATCCGGGCCCTATGGCAGTCGGTGCAGGAGCAAGCCGCCAGGGACCGGGAAGCTTGAGGAAGGCTGGGGCTGGGGAGCACCGGGCCAGCTGGAACTGAGAAACACCTGCAGAGGCTTGGGGTGCTTTGTCCCCAGGGGCACCATCTCTTCGGTGCCTACCAGAACTTGAAGCTCTCACTGGGACCCAAAGAGGTGGGATTTTGTTTTGAACTATGAACTGTTCTTATGTCTTCTGTAACTAATATATATGCAAGATACAAAGAATAATAAAGGAATTACATAATTAGGAAATAGAACTTCCCAATACTTTTGAACCATCTTTGTGACCTTCTCTGATCCCATTTCTCTCCACCCTATCCAATTTTATTATTAACCCCTTGATTTGCTGTATGATTTCACTACGTATGAAACAATAGAGAAATAAATTTAGTATTTGAGGTAGGAATTCTAAGACAGAACAAATCCTCCCATTTCCCCTCTCCCTAGGGAGCAGCCACTGCAGGTGGGGAGGGGTTGGGTCAGGGCTGAGCCCAGCCACCTGCTCTAGGACAATACCACTGCTCTATAGTCAGAACCGACCAGAGATCTGGACCAAGGGTGTTGGGTGTCAGCCACAGGCAGGGACCCTCTGCAGCTGCTTTCTCCCTCTCTCCTCGGGGTTGTGGGAGGACAGATCACTCTGGAGAGAACACCCACCGCCATTTGCCCGGGGCTGGCTGGGAGCTCAGGCAGTGGAAGTCAGCACCAAACAGGACTTTACCACTTTCTGGGTCCCTCCGAGAGGAAGAACGAGTGGGCGAGGGAGGGGGTGGAAAGTCTCCAAAATGACTATAAAAATAAGCACTTTATTAAAAAACTGGATTCTCAGGAAGTGGGGGCTTCCAGAGGTGTCACTGGGCAGTACTGTTGAGGCTGGATGCATCCGGAGGCCGAAAGAAACTATCCAGGAGTTGCTGGCCCGGGCTGGGCTTTTTCCGGCTGGATGGAGTGGACACCGGGCATCTTTTGGGACCCTGTGCAGAAGCCAAAGAAAGGAGGCACTAAGGGGGCAGCAGAGTCCTCTCCTTCCAGCCCCCTCTCCACTCCACTAATACAGCTCAGGTTCTAGTCTGAATGTTGTAAAGCTTCCAACCCGTCTCCAGTATCTACGTCTTCGGTCAACATGGCAGCCCAAGGTAGTCTTCCTAAGATACAAATCAGGCTCCTCTCTCCACCCAAAATGCTTTAGCGGCCTGGTGTTCATGGCCCTGACTGGCCTGCGCGGGCCCTGCTGATCAAACGCGCCTAGCTCCTCGCACGCTGCATTATGAAGTTGGCCGCATTATGCCAGCATTGCCCACAGGACTCTTGGGCCCAGGGAAGAACATTCCTACTGCGGACTCCCCTCCCAAACCTGGAGGTAATGGTTCGGTTCTTCCACACAGATTACCAGCTGCTGCTTCTAAGTGGCCCTTCCTGATCCTTGCCTCCCAAACAGAACTGAAAGCTCTCCACCTCATAAGCCACAAAACCGAGTACAAGCATTTTGCACACCTGGGGCCCTACTGTCTCCACCATTTGTTCTTATTCCCTCACCACCCTGGCCTCCAAGCTATAAGGTGTCCAGGGAAGAACTATTATTCCTCTCCCCACGGCCAAGTGTGGAGTGGATAATGTTCACCCAAGCATGTGTCATTTAACTCACTGAAAACCCCGGGGATTTGGGCCTGAGGAAAGATGGCTGGGGGAGGGCCAAGAGACTCACCTTGCGGGTCCCTGGCTGTTGGCCCTCGTACACACGGAACACCTGGCCAAGGAGAGAGGGGGAGAGCGCAGGGCTGGCACCTTCCCCCAAAGAGCCAAACCCCTGTGGTCTCTCAACTTCATGCCCCCACACGTCTGTTTAAAATACGCTTTTGGGGCGCCTGGGTGGCTCAGTGCTTAAGCGACTGCCTTCAGCTCAGGTCATGATCCTGGAGTCCCTGGATCGAGTCCCGCATCGGGCTCTCTGCTCGGCAGGGAGTCTGCTTCGTCCTCTGACCCTATCCCCTCTCATGTGTTCTCTCTCTC